TATTGGATAGGTGAATGGCGAACTCCTCAGCTTTATCTTCGTCAGATGCTGCCCAGGAGCCATCACCTCGTCGGAGAGGATGGGAAATGCGGTGAGGATTTAGGATTTTTGTTGTGGTTTTCCAAAGGGAATTGTCGCGAGAAGAGAGGGAGGATAGGTAGGAGTTGAAGGATTGTGATCTGAAGGTGGCTAATTCCAGTTTTAATTGTTTGCAGTAGTAATTATAGGAGCAGCGGTCGGTAGGATGTCGGGTACGTTGCCATAATAATCTGGCACGGCGTTTGGTGCGGATTAGGTTAAGGAGGTGTTGGGGTAGAATGGTCTTTATAGGAATTCTGGAGGAGTCTTTTGGAAAGGAGGCAGTCCAGGCGGCTTGTTGGATTGTGGTAGTAAAGGAATTTACGGCACTATCAAGGTCATCGGGAGTTTTGAGGGATATGTTGAGATCAATATTATCGGAGATTATTTGGCGGAAAAGGTCCCAGTTTACTGGGCCCCTAATGAATGACGGTGGAGAAGGTTTGGGAACAGGTTCAAGTGAAACATTAAGGATTAGAGGACTATGGTCAGAGGAAAGTTCATTTAGACGTGTAATGGAACAATTGAGGGGACTTAAGCCGCTGTGGATAAAGAAATCAAGAAGATCAGGATTACGGTTGGGATCTGTGGGCCAGTAGGTAGGAGAGTTGGGGGAAAGGAGGTGAAAACGTTGGGAATTGAGTGCAGACAGCAGGGTTCGGCCACGAGAATTCGTGGTTCTGGAGCCCCATTGTTGGTGCTTGGCATTTAGGTCTGCACCCAAGATGAAGTGATGTCCTAAGGAGTCGAGGAGAGAACTGAATTGGGCATTGGATATGGATCGGTTAGGAGGGCAATACGCTGATGCAAGAGTGACCGGAAAGGAGAAGGTTTTTATGTTAAGGAGGTGTTGGGGTAGAATGGTCTTTATAGGAATTCTGGAGGAGTCTTTTGGAAAGGAGGCAGTCCAGGCGGCTTGTTGGATTGTGGTAGTTAAGGAATTTACGGCACTATCAAGGTCATCGGGAGTTTTGAGGGATATGTTGAGATCAATATTATCGGAGATTATTTGGCGGAAAAGGTCCCAGTTTACTGGGCCCCTAATGAATGACGGTGGAGAAGGTTTGGGAACAGGTTCAAGTGAAACATTAAGGATTAGAGGACTATGGTCAGAGGAAAGTTCATTTAGACGTGTAATGGAACAATTGAGGGGAGGACAAAAAGGGTAATGGAACAGACCCTTTTTATAAAATTATTTACATCCGCATGAAACTTCGTACATAGCTTCTCATCGTGACCTACAACTATTTTATTTACAAAAACTCTCGGAATAGGGAAGTTTTCAGTCTGGAGACGTGCAAACTTTGTTTATTTAATTTGGCACTGAAAACTTGTAAATACCTATTTGTTTTCCACTTGAACCGTAAAATAATTCTATAAACTCTAAATCGAGAACAAATGTGATCTTGAAATATATTGAACCGTTTGGAGTGACCTAGGTTCCCAAAATAACGACGTTACATAGGCCAAACGGTCCAATACTTGTGTAGGTTTTTTTCTCTCGATTTTGTGATCAAATTATCCTACGATCCAAGTGGATTACAAATGCATGTCTACGTGTTTTTGGTATCTAATTAAATAGATAAAGTTTGCCGATCTCCAGATTTAAAGCGCCCCAATACCAAGAGTTTTCGTAAATAAAACATTTGTAGGTTACAATCAAATAAAGTTTCAGGCGGATGATAATATTTTAATATAAAGGGATCTGTACCACCGACTATTAGATATATTTTTCCATTACAAAGAAGTTTTTAAACATCCTAGATTATAAAAATATAATGAATGTTTGATGAATAAATACATATTTTTTCCCCAAACCTTTACAGCACTTTCAATGGTCACGTTTCGGTTAAAAGAACAGATATTCGGAATGAGTAGTTGCTTTTTAAGTAGTTCAATGCCATATGCAAAGGATAGATTCTGTTAAAAGTGTTGGAATTTCTGAGAAATATTCACATTTATTTTCTATTTTTTAGACTCCTCTATACACAATTCAAATTAATTTAGAGGGATTTAAATTTTTATATGAAATATGGAAAGGTGCCATTTATGAAATTTTATCTATTCCCTCAAACCCTGATATTAAGTTCGTGGTTTATCCCAAATTTTGAGTTTTTGGGCACCCCCGCAGCCAGGGGATTGAAATGGATTTGTAGCCTTTTATGGTGTTTTAACATTTTCCCTTATTTCAGCCGTTTTGATAAATTGAATTAGTATCAACAATTATAAAACATAATAAAATATTGTTTTTTTGGATTTGATATTTTAGACAGAATCCAATAATAGTAGTATAATAATAAGTAAAATAAATCAAGCAGTTCAATTAATTTAAAAATTCTATTTAATTGCTTGAATGAAATCAGTTTTCAGACAATAATAATCATTCGATTCCTTTATATAATTCTTTTTTTATTTTTACACTTCGAAAATAAAAAGTTTCTCTTAGATATTTTAGAATTATGAATATTGAAGTCCTGTCCAGTGTGTCATATTCTGATCTATTAACGCTTGCTATTTCTTTTAAGTTTAAGAATTAGACAATTCTCGGGATGAGTATAAAGATTTTATAAATGAATGATAATGATAAAGAATTTTAAAAAGCATATATTTTTTTTTTAAATTATGAAAATGAATATTCAGAATAATCAATCATAGCTGATTTGAAAGATATCAAAATTTTTACTAACATTTTATAACAAATAGTTAGGATATGTCAACGTATCATCCCATCAGCCAACATAATTAATTATGACACAGGAATTAGTTTGATATTCCACTCCAGCTTTGGTGGACTAAATAACAGTATAGTTTTTTTTGACAGTGAAGATGAGAACTTAGTTTCCTTTGTGAATTCAAGACAATAATGTCGTTTTTGTCATTTTAGTTCTATGACAATAGTCTGTTGTTTACTAATCTACGACATCATAGCATAATGTCACGGAAATATGAATCATTTTATAGTTGTTCATAGTTTATAGCTGTTCTTCAAAAGCTACACATCTTTGTTATATCTTTCGTTTTGTATTCTTATCAACAAATAGCTTCAGGTCTATTCGAAACAATAGATTTCAATTGTTATTTTAAAATTTATTTTCTGTACAGTAAATATTACATCTGGTATTCACATTATCCTTTGACCGAAAAAAACAACATTGTTTATTTACTTATTGGTGAAGTTTTCGAAAAACAAGAAGTAAGAGAAAAACTTTCATTCTCCCGCCAAATATATGTTGCCAACATTTTCCAGACTTAGCGGATTAAGACAAAGCAGCCTACGATCCTCAGGATTGCGGGGAAATAATGTGAAACTCCAAGCTAAAGATTAACCCCGATGTAAAGTTTTAACTTTAACGGAACTTTTTTTCATTACAGATTTCATAGTTTTATGTGTTATTTTCAAGAGATATATTCATATTTTTATCATTTGATTTTTTATAAAAATTTAAAAGAAATTTATGATTATTTCGAAACCTTAATTAGTTTCAATTCCATAAACTCATTAGTTAACGTTGAACTGGACATATTTACAACATTAGTAAATTATTGATGTGCAAGAATTTTTTAAAAAGTCACTATTATTAATCATAAGTTTTGCTATATCTTTTCATAACCTAAAGGGATACGTTCACATGCCAGTAAATATTTTAGAAAGCACTGGAAAAGTTGTTAATGAAGTGTTTAAATATTGTGAAAACGCGTTGAAACTAGTGAAATTCATCATAAAACCCTACAAAAACAAATCAGACATTTTAAAATTAGATTTCCAAATAATTCCAAATGTATAAACTTTTTTGTAGATGTTGTTTTTATACTTTATATTTTTTATGGTTAGTTTAAAAAAAAAAAAATAAGGTGTGCTTTAGATCACACAATAACTTTGAAAACATCAACAAGGCAGAATTAATAATATGAAATATAAATTATAAATGATAGTCCATTGCAGTGATCATGAAATGCTGAATAATTCTCTCGCTTACAGTATATAGGTCCGATTTTTAGTTTATGAAATACTTTAATCCAAATCTTTAATAAAAATCGTCATAAATTGCTTTAAAACTTCTCTAACACGGCGTCTCGTGTTGATACAATTTTGAATAATAACCCATTAAAAAGATATTTTAATTTTTTGCAATATTTTAATATATCCATATGCAAAAACACTTTATTGAGTCTACTCCAGCCCCCCCCCCCGTTACACGGCCTGAGATCTGAAGGCTGAATCTAATTACACTCCGCCAAACGTACCTATAGAATTTTCAATAAAAAAAAAAAAATGGAGGAATGGCGTTCCTTTAGTGAAGGTGCCGAGATTAAATGATGAATTATATATTAAAAAAATGTTTTCCAGTATTTTAGATTTATTATACCCGGGCAATCATACGCGATTCTAGAAAAAAAATCAAAGCCATATTAATTTTCTATGCCTCCAAATTTTATTTGAGTTAGGTTTTTTTCCTTTCGAACAAACAAGAATATAATTTAGAAGATTTTCACTCCAAGTTTAAAATAGAAAAATTTAAATCAAAGCCAAGTTACATATGGTCATCGATTCAGAGCACAGAGATTCAGGTCTAGAGCAGATCCATTCCCCGAGTCACCATCGTCAATAAAGGTGAAACTAAATTACTTGTATTTTTATTTATTTTTTATTTTTTTTGCTTGGACTTTTCAAAATGCATCGTAGTAGGGTTTTGAATTTTAAGGTTATTTTATAAGGATTACAATCAAACCTTCTTCAATACATATTCCCTGTCATGATCTCCAACTTTCTAATTCTTTAAATCTTAGCCGGATATCAATGTAATGAACAAACACACACATGTACAAGCTATGTATTATATAACTAGCATTCCCGCATCAACCCAGTATATATAGGAGGCTGTGGAATGGAGTAGGTCAGTAGTCGAGAAGCACTCGCAACAATGAAAGGAACTCTCCTGCCACTCTTCGCCTGTCTGGTCGTTGTCCTGGCTGGCGAACACGCTCCCACCCACAGCCACTATCATCACGTCAGGACAAACATCTTTACCAAGGAGGAATCTGTACCGTACCCGGTAGAAGTCATCAAGCATGTGCCTTATCCAGTAAAAGTATCTGTAGATCGTCCGGTGCCTTATCATGTCGACAAACCGTACCCAGTCAAAGTGGAGAAGGAAGTTCGTGTACCCGTTCATGTCCAAGTACCTCAGCCATACCCAGTATACAAAGAAGTCAAGGTCCCTGTCGAAGTTAAGGAGGAGCGACCAGTACCATTCCATGTACCCAAACCGTACCCAGTGACTGTGGAGAAAAAAGTCCCTTATCCAGTCGAGAAGGAGATCCCAGTGCCTGTAAAGGAGTACGTCGAAGTACCTAAGCCGTATCATGTACCAGTTGTAGTCGAGAAGAAAGTTCCTTATTACGTAGAAAAGAAAGTACCAGTTCAAGTCCAAGTACCAGTAGAGAAGCCGTATCCGGTGGAAGTAGCCAAACCGTATCCAGTGACAGTAGAGAAGAAGGTGCCATATATAGTTGAAAAGAAAGTACCGTACCCTGTCAAAGTACCAGAATACGTCAATGTACCTGTACCTGTCCATAGTGAACATTCATCTACTTCTAGTTTCTCTTCAGAAGGAGGCTTAGGACATTATCACTTCTAGTGTTTTAATGAAAATTTTATTAGAATAGTAATTGTTACTTTGACTAGTCAAGCACTATTTAATGATGTATATAATAAATATTATTAAGATTTGTTAACACTCTTATCACAATATTTAATTTCCTTTCTCAATCCAACTTATATTTTCAACGTCAATTAATCTTTGAATTAAAAAATAAAAACAATTAAGAAATACATAATTTCAAAAAAATACAGGGAATGACGTTTCTTTTGTTAAACTGCTGAGATTCAATGAGAAATTATATATCAGAAAATCCAGTTTTCATTATTTTAGATTTATTTCATCAGGGCGAGCATACTTGACTTAAAAAAAGTCATCAATGTCTTATTATTTTTTTTCTTCAATTTTTATTTGAGTTAGGTTTCTTTTCCTTTCAAACAAACTAGGCTATGATTTAGAAAAAATTACGCTCCAAGTTTGAAATGAGAAAATCTAAGGTAATCACAGGTAAAGTTAATTAAGCAAGTGGCAATGGTCGTTGAATCACAGCATAAAGATGCAGGTCTAGAGCAGGTCCATTCCTCTAATTGCTATCGTGTTCGTCCAAATGTCAGCCTAAATTACGTGTGATTTTCTTTTTTAGGCTGATGAGAAATTTTCTAAATTCATCCTAGTTGGTTTTTATAGTTTTAAATTATTTTTTGTTAGAAATAAAATAATCCATAACGACTTGAAATCTTCCATATGTTTCAGGATTGATTCAATCCAAATACCAATCATTCCATAATAAACTTCAAGTCCATTCTAACCCTCTCATTTCTAACCTCCACGATCCCTGATAACCTCCCGAGGCAGAAAGAATATGGCCTCTTGATCTCCTAATTTAGACACTTCATTCGAGTGCTATCGACCGATAGGTAGATTCTCTACAAGCATTATCATGCTATATTTCTTTATATCACATTTACTAAATGTATATTTATTTGTATGCTGTACGTTGTATCAAAATTGAAGCATTCTTAAAAGTAGCGAACATATTTAAAAGTTTAGTTTTATCAAAAATTTACTTGGTGACGTTCTACAATAAAGCGACAGTATTATATTGGATTGGCAAATAAGTCCTTTCGGTTTTTCCGAATCACTATGATACACTTCTTATCTGATGAATTAATCCCTATGATGGGTTGTTTCTCCAGTTTGTAATATGTCAACAATATATCTTTTAAATCTTGTTGAAACAAGCTTATTGTGTATGCTATTGCACTGTAAATATGACAGAAAATGTCATTCATTATCGGCATAATTTGTTGTATTATTTTAAAAAAGGTATGCGTGCTGCAGAAGCTCATAGAAAAATCTGCGTCATTTATGGGGATGATGCCGAACGCACTTCAAAATTTGTTTGCCAAATCTCATTCAGGAAATTTTTACATCAATGATGCCCAATGGTCTGGTCGCCCATATGAAATTTGAACGAGCAATGTTAAGGCCATTGTTGATCAAAATCCCACCCAATCAGCGAGGGAGATTGCTATAGCCCGAAATTTACCATAAACAATCATTTACACAAGCTCGGCTATATTTCCAGGCTTAATGTTTAGGTCCTTCTCATGATTTTTATTTCGAAAATCACAAAAATAATGTTATAACTTCAATACGATTTTAGCTATCTACTAGAAATTTAGGGCCACATAAACTATACAAAATTACATCAACAGGACCTTCGTAAACAAACTTCAAATGGAGATAAAAAATAAAAACGTATAAGGAATGTTTTTTTATTTGTTCTTGGAATGTTATATAAGCATTAAATACAAAGAAGAGCAATAATTCAGCTTTCCAAGGGATGCATTAACATCGAATTTGATCAATCGCAATGAATTATTGAGCCTTGGACGGGACCTTTTGCCCCACCCTCAATATTCACAAGACCTAGCTCCAAGTGTCTACCACTTATTCCGGTCTCTGCAGAGCTCCATAAATGGAAGGAAATTCCAAAAGGAAGATAAATAATTTTAACAGTAAACTCAATATATTCTATGAACATTGCATTATGTAGTTAGTGTAAAGATGGGAAAAAGTCATATTAAACAACGGTCAACATACTGTAGATTAAAATAAATTTCATGTATATAATACATTGAGTTTTATTTCACCCTGAAAACCAAAAGGACTTATTCGCTAACCCAATAAATGTGTATTAGTTGATCAAGAAATTTATTTCTGTGGTCTATAATAATTAGAATATAATTTTATATTCCGGAATTTCCAAGTTCTCACCTTCTTTTAAAAATTTTAAAGTTAAAATTGTTTTTCATAAATTAGAATAATGAAATTTTGTGAAGAGTCTATTTATCGGAGGAAAAATATATGAAAAAGTTATCAGTTAAATGTGCTGCAAAAGACTATCAAGAGGGGCTTAAGAGGGTAATAATATTGAAATTAGCCGAGCAATAAAAGTTAAGAATACTCGCTCCCAAAGAGCAATATCCACGCCATAACACTTTCTTAACAGTTGACCGAACTGGCGCACAGATTACATCGCTCTTAAAGATTAAATTTTAATTTGATTTTTATCTATCTTTATATTTTGTCTATGTCGACATATAAATTTATGGTTCCTATAATTTAATATTATTTATTAATTCTATTTATATCAGTCTATCGGTTTAAACAGCTATATTAGTGTCACCTATACCGTTATTCATATTATTCTTTTTATTATTGGCTAACAGATATCTTTATATCCTAAACTAAGTTTCTCCAGTTTTGCCGATTTTGGACTATTATTGTCCAGTTTCCAGCAGAAAGCTCGACAACATCCTTGTTGATTTATTGTATACATCTACTTATTGACCAACCACGTGGTATATTGCCAACCATGGTGCCAATAGAGGAAGTAAAGTTCTGTGATAAAGCCAGCTGTAACACAAGGTTCCTAGACCTGAATACTACTAACTAGTGCTGCCCAAACACAAGACCAAGACATGTTTGTTTGCGCGCTCAGTCTTGCGCATGATACTTGCTGTTAGCTATTAGCTTATTTCTATTTATTTAACATGTTACTTTACATCTTAGAAAAATGCTACAGGTACATTTAGATGATTTATTGATATAAACGTAGTAAATTCTAAACAAATTAATAAAATACATTAAAGGCATTGTCAAGAAAGATATTGATAAGCCCTAACCTTGGAACGGAAGAATTGTTGAGTAAAGACAAGCTATACAATAAATTATAGTTATAAATTATTCAAATAAAAAATCTGCTGTAGTCCACTCAAATGACACTTGAATAATCTGTTTTTAAAAATATTATGAAAAATTAAATCTAATTAATGCTCAAAATGATTAAGGGAATAGATCCTAAAATTAAAACCACTGAGCGTAGGTTTTTCTTCGTTTTAGAATGTTAAAAGTTAATATTATTATTATTTTTTTACTATGCCTGCACATCTGCTGATTGTCGATAATAATTGACAGGTTCGGATAAATATATGTAAGTGCAAAAAAAAACTTAATAAAATCCAGATGGAATGAGGGATACAGTTCACAGCAAACAAAACATAAAACATTCGATTGAGATAACAAAATAACATTCTGAAATAGTGAAGTGTTATTTTGTTTATTTTATCTCTTCCCAGTCGACCCCAAAACAACACAGTTCATATAGATATCACATTTTAAGTCTTTTTATTGACAATGAATTGTTATCTTAGGGGCATATTCAATTTTTCATTATAATTTCTTTTCAGAAGTTATTTGAATTATGATAATAAAGTTTATTTATGATTGTACTAAATGTGAAATTAAATGTATCAGGTATAACGACATACTTTACGAAGAATTAAATAAACCTACTAATTAACATAATTGATTTCATATATTTGTAAAATGCGATCTATTAAGTTTTTATGTTTCAAGTTTTCTCTAGGCTCTGGTCGTGCGATAATCGCAACTTTGTGGTTTCGGTGACGTTTCTTAAAACATCCAAATGCAATTTTAATTGCAATGTAAAGTTTGTATACAATATTATTTGTGTCCTTACAAAACTCTACAAACAACGTTGTTTAATATGTATTTAACTTTCCTTCTTTGGGCCCGCCTCACACTTTCTACAGTAGTCTTTAAGAAACTTCTCAATTTTTGCATAAAAATCCTCTCATTGCCTGGACATAAATTAGCATGGTAATGCTTTAACATATTATCAACTTTCAGATATTAGAAGACAAGACTTCAAATCAAACTGGATTTTTTTACATATCTGTCAGACAAAAATAAAGTGATTGCAAATTAAAGGGCAAGCATTGAAACACTAGAAAAATTATTATCATATAAATTTATTATTATATAAATTTATTGTCAAATGATATAAGCCGGTCGATGGCCTCCACCCACAACTCCGTCAATAGAAACATCTGCAATTTCACTTATCCGCTATCAGAAGAATATTTGTAACACAGTTTGAATATACACAAACATAGGGCAATAAGCCAACTACGGGACTCAAGCACAGCATATCTACACAATATTCTACCAAATAAACGCCAGCGAACCATGAGAACTCTGTCGGAAATCCAATGATGACACTCTGAACCATCTTCTCCTGCACTCTTCTTCTTGTGAATCATACAGATATCAATTTTTAAATAATTATGTATCTGTAAATGATTATAACGAGGTTAATTTATTTTCTCGGTAAATTTACTTTGTTACTAATAATGATTGTTACTATTTGGATAACGTAGCAGTGAAAAGTTGGTTTTCGTCGTACTCTGATCTGCGATCAGTAAGCTCAAAGAGATTGGAACTCAACAACTCGGTGAAGCTGTTCCAACGCAATAAAAATGATCAAGTCGACGAAGTCTGGCCATTCTACTGCAAAATGGTCATCTCGAACGCAACCGATAATAATAAAAACAACTGGAAACTCGTCACCTGGCAGAAAACGCTAGATGAATAACGGTAAGGACCCAAGAAAATTAAAAAAGGTAAGCGAAGTAGCTACTGTTATCAAGTCTTACCAAACACCCAAAATGAGTCTGAAGGTTCCACTAAAAAACATATTATTCTAAAACCTCCACTTATCCACCTAAATGATTTTCAGAATTTCACTGAACTAGATGCGTTTATAAACAATTTAGGCGGTCTGAACAGTTTTAAATAAATATTTACAACTATAGGAGTAAATGTCTATCCCGAAAACGCGGAAATATTGAGACGAGTAGTAGCTGCCTTGAGACAAGTAGGTGCTGACTTCCACACATATTATATACAAGGAGATAAAATCCCAAATTCGTACTAAAAAACTTGCATCACGCAACTCCTATGGAAACTATTAATGATGATGAGCTGAAAAGTGTTGGCTACGAAGCCATGAGTGTTGTGAACGCTATTTCACGTTTTAAAACACCATGTTTTTTGTTGACATCTCCAAATCAACATTCAACGAACAAATTTTCGAAATACAATACTTGTATTACACAAGAGTTAGGGTAGAAGAACCAAGTCTGGTATCAGGGTCTTCTTTTCAAACTTAAGACGATACCTTATCCTACTATCTTATTCTTCAATCTTTTCTTTATGATAGATTTTTCTCATTCTGGCACCGAATTTTCTTCCATTAAACCAGCCTTAGCAGGAATTCCTCAAGGGTCAGTACTCGCTCCGCTGCTATATATCATTTACGCACATGATATTCCATAAAGTTTCAAAACTCTGATACGCAGATGATCCAACAATCCTAACAAGACATCGAAACCCAATACACTCTTCACAGACTCTACAATATCACCTGACTAAATTCCACCAAGACAAATCACAACATATTATTTTTACTATTCGGTGAAAAACTTGCACTCATATTTACTTCGACAATGTCTCAATTCCTCAGACAGATAAAATTCCATATCTTGGAATGACATTCGATAGAAGAATGACATGGGACCCACATATCAAGAACAAAACAAAAACCTAAACCTAAGACTACGACTGCTATATTCACTCCTTTCAAGACGTTCGAAATTAAAACTTAGTCAAAAATTGAATACATACACTTACTTACTTAAGCCCATTTAGACCTATGCCTCACAGATATTCGGGGTAGTTAAGAAGACTTTTTTTTTTTTATTATTTATGAAATTTACAACTGTACATAAAAAAAAAAATTTACATGCGTAAACTAAGACCTTTCAAGCAAAAGCTTCCAGGACTGTAACATTACATTACATTACATTACACAAAGACTTACAGGTCCTAACAGTTAACGACCATATAAGAACACACAACAAAATATTTCACAATAACTTACACGGAAATCCCAACTCACTGGCACCCACAGAAGGCTCAAGAGAACCTGGATGAGAAATCTCCTCCACTAACAATAAATATTAAATCAAGATAGGAAGACAGGCACCGGGGCATTTTTCTACCAACTTCTTCCTCAACTTCCTACCAACGTCTTATTCCTTACTCTTCTCTACGATAGCACACTCGCTGGTTGTTGGCACTACCAACAGGTGTGAGTTAAGAAATAAAGAAAAAAAATTATAAAATTATTACTAAAATGAACAATGTATTTCTGTCCCTCGCATCAATCTTGAACAACTATAAATCGTATATTTATGTATGTGCTAAATATATTTATTTTTCCAAATAAAATATTTTTATAAAATGTATTTATATATTTATTGTTATGTAATGACGAATTTTATACTTTTTATGCCAATGCTATTTAAAAAAAAAGTTATAAAAATCGTGTGTAAATTTGTGAAGTAGTTTGAGCGATTAGTGACTAAATACATCCAAGAAAGTGCTCCTTTGTATATTAGTATTATTAACGAAATAGAGAAATACTTCAATCATATAACAATGAGGCATAAGATGGGTACCCGCGTGTACTTACTTTATAGTGAAATTTCTATAGTGCCAAACATTCTTCGATTCACATTCTCTGTCATGATCTACAACTGTCCACTTATCTTAGCCTGATATCAATTTGTAATGAACAAACAGGCACATTTACAAGCTATGTATTATGTAACTAGCATTCCTGCATCAACCCAGTATATATAGGAGGCTGTGAAACGGAGTAGGTCAGTAGTCGAGAAGCACTCGCAACAATGAAAGGAACTCTCCTGCCACTCTCCGCCTGTCTGGTCGTTGTCCTGGCGGGAGAACACACCCCGACCCACAGCCACTACCATCACGTTAGGACGGACATCTTCACCAAGGAGGAACCTGTACCGTACCCGGTGGAAGTTATCAAGCATGTGCCCTATCCTGTTAAAGTATCTGTAGATCGTCCGGTGCCTTATCATGTCGACAAACCGTACCCAGTCAAAGTGGAGAAGGAAGTCCATGTACCCGTTCATGTTCAAGTACCTCAGCCATACCCAGTGTACAAAGAAATCAAGGTCCCTGTCGAAGTTAAAGAGGACCGACCAATACCATACCACGTACCCAAACCGTACCCAGTGACTGTGGAGAAGAAAGTCCCATATCCAGTCGAAAAGGAGATCCCAGTGCCTGTAAAGGAGTACGTCGAAGTACCTAAGCCGTATCACGTACCAGTTGTAGTCGAGAAGAAAGTTCCTTATTACGTAGAAAAGAAAGTACCAGTTCAAGTTCAGGTACCAGTAGAGAAGCCGTATCCAGTAGAAGTACCCAAACCGTATCCAGTGACAGTAGAGAAGAAGGTGCCATATATAGTTGAAAAGAAAATACCGTACCCTGTCAAAGTACCAGAATACGTCAACGTACCTGTACCTGTTCATAGTGAACATTCATCTACTTCTAGTTTCTCTTCTGAAGGAGGCTATTATCACCTCTAGTGTTTTAATGGAAATTTTATTAGAATAGTAATTGTCACTTGTACTAGTCAAATACTATTAAATGATGTATATAATAAATATTATTAAGAATTTTTAATATTCTGATCACAATTTTAACTTTCCTCTCTGGATCCAACTTATATTTTTACCGTCGAAAAAACTGAAAATTTTAAATTCTGTTGTATATCCCATTTAATGCGATTTTGGAATGGATGTATGTATATATATATATCAATTTATTTGAAATTTCAATGGTTCGAATATTTTTGATAGACAACAACTATTTAAATATCCTCCTACGATCCGATAAGCTCAATGTTCTCATAAATTATTTTCAGAACTGCCATATCTTCCTCATATCCTACTTACAATTTATTATTTATTAAGACGTGTACCCAACATTAAAATCGAGAGTCATTTCAAATGAATCTTCACTACCATTGTTAGTTTTTTACATCACATGTTTCTAATATCAGATCATGTTATCAGATTGAGAATAAATTTATTATTTTAGTATTATATAGTTTTTTATTGACATTTTAGGGCCGTATATTCTTAATAGAGGAAAAACGCTCTCAATCAGTATTCACTGATTTCCAATATAATGGCGTTGGAGAGAAGCACTGGGAACTTGTAGAATCCTAATTTTCCTTCTATATTTAGAAGAACAAGTTTGGTTACAATTCCTTGCGCGAATGTAAATATTGTACATACGTATTGCTGTGTCCTAGAAATCTCGGTTTTACGGAGTGTAGGAGGTTCAGGGACCCCTTTTGTTTATATTTAATGTATTTAATATTTCTATTTCTATTGGTTCCAGAAGGGAACCGAACAACATAAAAATAAATGAATAGTGTATTTAAAGGTTAAATACCACAGACCCCCTACTGTAGTATCCTTGATTGAATAATATAATTTTTATTATATATCTTTTCAAAATGTGTCGTGTTTAAAAATCTGCTATTTGTATCTATATTTAAATGGCGGCATGCGAGGGAGATTGTTAAAATATCAATATTCAATACTAATTAATCTATTTATAAATTTAAAGAAACAAAAGCATATATACATATTATGTATAATAAATGTTAGAGAATCATATTAGAGGAGAATGGTATTTTGAATAGGACTTATTGAAGTTACTTATGATCTATTGATTCTATTATTGCTTTTGACTGCCCGCATATGTTTACACGTTTAATAGTAAATGGATGTTATGATTTAGCTGTTGTTTTTTCATGGTGAGGGGTACCGCTGGTATCTTGGATGATCCCTCATAAGTGAACCATCATCTCACCTCCAACGAACCCTTTCTGCACGTCCTCTAGCTCTGACCTACTCCAGTGTCCTTCCTTCCACTGTGTATCTTCCCAGACTCCCCGGTGACTGTCCCACCTCTCTTGATCCACTCTTCAAGTATCTTTTCCAGAGCCTTGTCCTTATCTTTATGACATCCATTACCCGGCAGCGCTACTCGCGTCTCCTCAAAGACTTTACCTGCCGCTGGCCCAAGTAAATAAATAGACTAAAAACTTTCTTTGTTTTTATTTCAAGTCTCTTTATTTATATAAATTATTTTAAATGTGCTCTTTACAATACACGGCAGTATGAATGGCTTCAAGAAAAATTTTATTTCTGAAGTGCAAACTGTTATTATATTTTATTTCTATTTATTGGTTGGACATCTTAATTCAATTGTATAGACACTACTAACAGACACGCTACCACAGAATTCGACAAGGAGTCTTGAACTTTTCTGAAGCAAGGATCGGCTACGTTAGAACTTCAGTGGGAGGTCTCTACAATGAAGTGTTAACATTAATTTGGGAGGTGGAGTTCTTAGCTGTGGATATCATATTTATAATATATGCTAAAAGGCAATTTTTAAATTAATAAAATTATTATTGTTATTGTTATTTTTATTTACTATCATTATCATTTTATTTGTTTATATTATTTTTTTTTTTTAAATTATCGATGTTCATTTCTCTTTTGTAAGTTGTATTGTATGTATGAAAATTTGTAGTGCCAGTACTTATAATTAAATACAATGTAATAAATGCAAGGCACTAAAACAATGTCACTATGTAATTATTCAGTAAACTTTTAAATAGAAAAAAAATCCCAATACCTTTTAAATATTCTTTAATTTAGTCATGTTAATTGTTAGTCCATTCCAATGTACTCACCTGGTTCCTGGTTGTGACATCCGTTTTTTCTTATTAAATATATTAGTTTCAAGATGTAATTTATTTTTTGTTCATTGCATTTTACTACAAGCCATCATTATTAAACTCGATCGATATCACATCTAGATTACTTATGCACTAAGTTTATACAGTACCTTGATTTCTAGTAATTACTAACAAAAGACTTAAAAGAAATATATATTATTTTTTTTATTATTATTATTTATGAAATTTACAACTGTAGAAATTAATATACATCCAGCAGATGTGATAAAAAGTAGTATATGACATGGCAAAGCTTGTAGAGAATCTACCCACTGTTAGCACTCTAATAAAGCATCTAAATTATGAGGTCACGAGGCTATTTTCTTTTCAGATGCCTAGGAGGGTTATCAGGAATCGAGGAGGAAGCAAGGTTAGAAACGAGAGGATTAAGATGGTTCTGAAGTTTATTATTGAAGGATATATATCTAGATTGGGCCAAATCGGAAACCTATGAAATATTCAGGTCATTATGGATTATTTTATTTGTTACAAAGTAAGGAGCATTATGGATTTTACGAAGGATTTAAAATTTATTAAGATTGGATACGAGAGCATTAAAAAACAAAATAATATATCAAGATCGTATATATTTAAATGTATTTATTTTAATTTTTTTCACATAGTACTCTTATAACATTTACTCTTCCATCAACATTTATTTTAAATATAACTTTAATAAAATAAGTAATATTGCTTGATTTATACTTCATATAAAGTAACTACCAACATTAAACTTTATTGTAAGTGAATAGTTTTCAATAATACGTTTATTTTACGTCTAATTTTATAGATGCAGACACCTCTTTATTATATTATTAATATCAATCTAAATCATAGTGAATAGTTTCATCCCATCGCCATCAACAACTTTTTATCTACGAAGATTCTCAGAAATGGGGCACACTCTTATTAAATTAATTATAGATAATTTTGATTTCCAATTTCCAATCGTAAAATAATTTGATAAAAAAATCCAGAAAAAAAGTGGCCTACAAAAATTTAGGGCCGTTCGGCTCTATATAACTTTGATATTTTGATATGTTTAAGATGAAAGTCGCGCTAAACGACCCGATATTTTTGTAGGCCACTTTTTTCGATCAAATTATCTTACGATTCAAGTGGAAGTCAAATGAGTGGTTATGAGTTTTTAGTTCCTCATTAAATAGACAAAGTTTATCGATCTATAGATTGAAAACGCCTCTTTACCAAGAGTTTTGTAAAACAATTGTACGTTACGAAAACATGAAGCCATTCAAGAAGTTTTAGAAGGATGTTGATAATTTGAAAGAAAAAGGGTGTATGTACCCAAAGGCTGTTACGCTAAAACTTCAAGTTGGTGGGAATTACTTAATTTTTTTTTACTTTATTGTATTACTTTTTGTAAGTCAATCGAAAATCTGAAATATAGTTTAATTTAAATTTGATAAAATTGGCTGTAGGCATTTAAGAAAAAAAAGCTGTGACATTAGTACTCTGAATAATCGAGGAGATGCATTCTACTAATTAAATATATATATTTTTCGTGATACAGACCAACTATGGACTACGTGAATATCATTTCTAGGTTTTTGTCTTTTTTGCTTATATTTGTATCATTTTTTCTTATGCATTATATATATAGAATAAACTATTTATATACACTCACACACACATTATATTATAACCTATATTATAATACACAACATATAAGCACTGAACGTAGATTTTTCTTCTTTTGGAAGAATTGATAAACACTTTAATAAATGAGAGGTACAGCTCAAAGTATAAAAAACAAATGGAATATTTGATTGAAATAACACAATCGCGTTGTGAAATAGTGATGTGTTATTTTGTTTATTTTAGACCCTTCGGGTTGATCCGAAAACAACACAAGGGATATTACCATATAAATCTTGTAATTTTTACATTAATGTTTGTATATATTAAATCTAAATAGTATCTTACAGTAATATTCAAATTATGATTATTTAAAGTTGCCAAAGTATATACAAAAAATTAATTATCCGATTTGAATATAATGTTAGATTTTTTTGTTTTTTTAATAACTGAAACTAATTGCTACGGAACAACGATTTCTTATCCAATTTTATTAATACTGGCAAATTTATATATATTTGATTAATTTTTCTTACTCTTCAATTTTAGCATATATTGTTAAAGGGCATTACGTTGGAGAAAAGTCGATGATAAAAAATATCTTTCTATATAAATTGAGTGGGGAGGATATGCACTGTTTCAAAACTGGTTATGCTATAATTTTAAAGATTCTTACTAGCCAGACGATATTTGAGGAGGAGAATATATAATAAACAAAGTGATAACAGATCTCAATAATATTTATTATATACATCATTAGTTAGTAACTAACTGACTAGTCAACAAAGTAACGATTAGATTTGAAATAAATTTTCTACGGCATAACTAGAAGTGATGATGTTCTAAGCCTCCTTCTGAAGAGAAACTAGAAGTAGATGAGTGGTCACTATGGACAGGTACAGGTACATTGACGTATTCTGGTACTTTGACAGGGTACGGTACTTTCTTTTCAACTATATATGGCACCTTCTTCTCTACTGTCACTGGATACGGTTTGGGTACTTCCACTGGATACGGTTTCTCTACTGGTACTTGGACTTGAACTGGTACTTTCTTTTCTACGTAATAAGGAACTTTCTTCTCAACTACAACTGGTACGTGATACGGCTTAGGTACTTCGACGTACTCCTTTACTGGTACTGGGATCTCCTTTTCGACTGGATATGGGACTTTCTTCTCCACAGTCACTGGGTACGGTTTGGGTACGTGGTATGGTACTGGTCGGTCCTCCTTAACTTCGACAGGGACCTTGACTTCTTTGTACACTGGGTATGGCTGAGGTACTTGAACGTGAACGGGTACATGGACTTCCTTCTCCACTTTGACTGGGTACGGTTTGTCGACATGATAAGGCACCGGACGATCTACAGGTACTTTAACAGGATAGGGCACATGCTTGATGACTTCTACCGGGTACGGTTCAGATTCCTCCTTGCTGAAGATGTCCGTTCTGACGTGATGGTAGTGGCTGTGGGTGGGAGCTTGTTCGCCAGCCAGGACAACGACCAGCCAGGCGGAGAGTGGCAGGAGAGTTCCTATCATTGCTGCGAGTGCTTCTCGAATACTGACCTACTCCGTCCCACTGCCTCTTATATATACTGCATCGATGCAGGAATGTTAGTTATATAATTCATAACGTGTAAATGTAATGGTAAATACAAATAATGATATCCAGATATGATTAAGAAAAGTTTGCAGTTGTAGACCATGTATGTACACAGGGGTACCCATCATTGTTATATTATTAAAATCTTTTATCTGTTTCATAACTAATATTATTATACAAAATAACTCTCAGTTTTCCTTTGTAATCGATAACACTAAAACTGCTGGTTTTATAGAATGGGCTGTGTTTTATCATGAAGATTAGAAAGAGTTACCAATATTTTTAATCGTGTTTAAGATTTTTGTAAGTACCTTACGAATGATTGATCACTAACTTTACATTGTTGAATTGTATTTAGATGATATTATAAATGTCAATGGAACAGATTCTTCTTATGGGACTAAATATTCCTGAATAAAATATACTATTCTTCTTATATTTTATTTAAAAGATAATTTTAAATACGAATTGACATTTCTGTTCCAGATATGCCTGAAGGTAAGCCCGTCCTGAGGCTGGAGAAGTACCGCTACTCGATCGGGGACATCATCAGGGGCAACTGCACTTCGCCCCCCTCGAACCCCCCGGCCAACATCACCTGGGTCATCAATGGAAACACGGTCAGTTTCAATAACACTAAATATACATTTTTCATTATATTTTGTTGACAATCGTTATTTACATTTTCCTTCATCAAAACTTATGCTGCTTGTGTTAGTTTGGTTAAATGAAGTTGATATTATTTGCTGAGGAGTCTATTTAATAGCCTAAATGGGTGGAACCTATAATATTAAATATTACAAAATTATTTACTAAATATGAGAAGGAGTGATGGGTAGGGGGGGGGGGAGGTGCGGTCAAATAAATCCTAAATTATAGAAATATTATTATTTAATTTTTTGGCCGACGTTTCAACCCACTTTACAGGTCTTCATCAGGGCTACAAAAGGTACATGGTGAAAATAAAATAAATGAATATAAGTAGACATAAAATAAGAAGTTGTCTGATAAAGAAATAAAAAGATTACATTTGATAACTGTAGGTTAACAGATTAAGAAAACGAACGTTAACGAATAAAGAGATTGAAAATTGAATAAGTATTAATATAGTAAATCTATGTTGATATAGTTTTAGCTTTACGATATCAATACTTATTCAATATTCAATCTATTTATTCGTTAACATTCGTTTTTTTTATCTGTTAATCTACAGTTATCAAATGTAATCTTTATTAGTTTTTTTTATCCACTTTATGTTGTCCACTCTTTTTTATTTTTATTCATGCTTATTTTCTATTTTTGTTTGTATCTTCTATATGTATAATACTTGATATTTTAACTACATTTTCACCCACTATATCTTTGATATCATCTTTTTATTTCTTTATCAGACAACTTCTTATTTTATAGCCCTGGTGAAGACCTGCAAAATGGGTCGAAACGTCGGCAAAAAAATTAAATAATACTATTTCTATAATTTAGTATTTATTTGACCGTACCCCCCGATCAACTCCTTCTCATATCATATCACGGTCAACCATCTCTACATCATCATTTACTAAATAGTACTTTATCTTATTAGTCTTGTGAAGGAAAGTATTGAAACACTCTTGTTCTGCATTTTATTTATGCTTAAGGTGGAGGTAAGCAATTCAGTAGGGAGGCATTCTTGAGGAAACCGAACTGGAACTTTATCACTGCAAAAAAAATATATATTTTCAAAACGTTTCTGTACTCAGGCCATCAGTCATTTAGTAGTGCTAAGAGTGATTGTTCTCGATAGTCATGTTAAATTTAAATTGAATGTTTCGTACGGAATACTCTGATTTAAGAAAAGAAAGATGAGTAACTAACAGTTCACCATATTAATCCTTAGACTAATCGAAATTTTTCAAATAGCCAACTTCGCGGCTTTGACAAATCTTGATGAACCATTCAGTGTCGGATGAATTTCCTCAAATTAAAAAGGACCTCAAAGTCTTCACGTTTGGAAAATCCTCAACAACTGAGTTTGCTATTCTATTCCTTTTTTTTTGTATACCTATTAACTTATAGTTTTCAGAGTTAGGTATTATTTTAATTGAAATTCGCCTATTCCAGCACACCTTTAAATCGCACAAGAAGGTACTTAAAATTCGCTGACACTAATCCAATCATATTCTAACACTAAAAATAATAAATAAATGTGTATTTATTTTTATATATACTTAAAAGCATTGGGAAATATTTTGATAAATTGACTTCTTCGGATATTTAAACTTAACCCCAAATGAAACTATAGATTCTTTCGGATGTTGACATGCACTGATACTGAGGTGAGGGGGGGGGGGAGAAGGGCTGCAATGATGGGACTTGCCATGATACGTAATGTGTAAGTGAAAGGCATCCGATTGCTAAACCAAGTTTAAATATTCATATTTGTCAATTTCCTTAACATTATAACAATATATAAAAATAGATATCCAAGTATTATACATTCCCTTAAAAAAACATTTCTATAGTCGGGCTTAGTTATAATCAAAGCATATATATTTTTTTTTAATTTTAGCCATTTTAGTTTTTCAAGTATGGATCATATCAAACTGAAACGACAAGAAACCACTCGACGTTTCCGATTACTTCAGCACTTACTAGAAAAACGCTCTAAACTTCCAATTAATTACAAAAGACTCATATACATGACTATAATAAGGCCTATTTGGAGTTCTGGACTTGAGCTATGGGGCTCCACTAAACCATCGAATTCCTCTCGTACCCAATCGTTATAATCCAAAATTCTAAGTAAAATCCTCAATGCTTCCTACTTTGTTACAAATAAAAACATCTATAATGACCTTAATGTTTCTTATGTTTCAGATCTGGCCCAATCCAGATACCTATCCTTCCATAATAAACTTCAGAATCATCCCAACCCTCTTGTTTCTAACCTTCCTCTTGAATTCCTGATAACCCTCCGAGGCGTCTGAAAAAAAGATATGCTGATCTCCTAATGTAGATATATCATTAGAGCGCTACCATTGTGTAGTTTCTCAACAAGTGTTTTCCCGTCATTATATCCATATGTTCAAATTTACTGAATGTATATCTTTAATACAGTTGTAAATATCATTAAGAAAAAAAAAAAATGTACTGACTATATATTCATCACATAAGAACACGATTTTATCAATAAAATGAAATCAACAACAATTTGAGGATATTTAAAATATTATCATTTATTTTTCATAATTAGGCATTAAATAGTTTCAATGCATTCACGATCTTTCACTGATTTAGAGTAATTTGAAACATCTTATTTAATGATTGGCCGAGTCATTCATTCAATAAATTGTTACATACCGTTCAAATTACTTACCTTTTATAAAATTACTTTGTTCTCATTTTGAGCCTTAATTGTTGCAACATACTCACCGAAGCTCAATCAATAATGTTAGACATCAAACATAAAAGTTGTTCAAGCCGTTCGCACAAAGAAATTGCATCACCCAGTAAAAATAGTATTAAACTTCATTTTATTTACCAGGTTGCTATCTGCAAGAACTCCGAATATTTTCTTGCAAGTTTTGAAACGATATTCTAAAAGTAATCGCACCATTAAGCGACCAAATTGTTCGTTTGTTTTTTCTCCTTTCAGTACCCTCTTTCCTATTTTTTTTAACTATTACTACGGTTGATTAGCGGTACCCTTTCCTCGTTACTATTTCTCGTAAAAATTCCTTCACTTCGAGTAACGTCACAATTTTAATATTTTCTATCAAGGAATTTTTTTTTGAAACTGGTTATACAAAGAGCTTTTATCCTGACGTTAGTTAAAATTGATCTGAGAAACATTGTTAAAGTTTTTTGGTTACCTAAATAAGTAAAGAAAAAGAAAAGCATTTAATAGAATAAACGTTATCAATATAACAATGAAAATAAAAAGGTGATACAATTTCTATGACCGCGACGGTACATTTATACAATAGTTTGTCAGTATTTTGATCCAAAATTGCTTCAAAAGACTAATAGATCTCTTTATTCGAGCTATTGAACTTAAAAATCTGCCAAGTCGTTCGATAGTAAAATAGTTACTTTCCTTTTAGTGTATTGATTAAAACATATTTTATATAGTAAATAGTTTTTATTATGAGTTATTTTTTTTTCAAAACACTCACGGGAACTCTCCGATAATTTAAATGGTCAAACTTAAATACAATTTAACCCCCCCCCCCCCTTAAAGAGACCCTTGCGCAATACCAAGATCAAGCAAGACGAGTTATGATAAGAGGAAACCATTCTTGAAGCTTTAGATGGATATTAATCATTTGAAAAAAAGGATACTCCAGAATAATTATTTATCCTGTTGCTTTCACGTAGTCAGGTAATAGAATACCTTAAACCTTAAAATAAAAACCTTAAACGATTTTCCAAAGTTTGGGATAACAAACGTCAAGTATACAAAGCAAAGACGGGAACATAACATAAAAGTTGGTCTACGACTGTTGTAAGGAGGGAGCTATTTACCTTGACCACAGCCTGAGAGCGGAGGCTACTTTAGGGGGGGGAGCGCTACTAGAGGGGGGGCTATAATCCTTTAATTAAGAGGACAATTACCAGGGGGCGCCCTATCTCCTCCCCCCACTCACCTCTCCTATCTGCCCCACCCTTTCATATTTAATAGAAACCTCTTTTACTTTTTTTTTATATTTTATAGGTTATTTTAGTCTTTATTCTCCCTAAGGATTATGGCTTAATTTGGTTAGACGGAAACAAAAAAAAAAAAAAAAAAAAAAGAAAGATGGAAATTTAAATATTCTCCTTTAAGTGGTATGGGAGGAAGTTTTTTTAATTTTCTCTGGATGATTGTTTTAAGTTTTTTTAAATGGGATGAAGTGAGAATCCAGATTCTCTTCAATTAAGCCTCAAATACTATTGTAACAATTCAATCCACTGTAAA